GCAACTGGCGTTAATTGTTGTTCGAGTGAATTCAATGCCCGTCAGCCGCGAGACGCGTACTTGTACACCCAAACCCACGAGCGATACGTAATAAAAGCGGGAAAATCAATGCGGCCGATAAACCGTATATACTTGTATAATATACACAGCCCGAGGGGCACGCAAGAAAATCACGAGGAGCTTGGGACCCAAGAGGAGCCAAGAAGCGCTTCGAGACAGCGTCCCGAGAAATTCGCAATGAATTAAACGCGATCTGTAAACCCCCCCCCCCCCCCCCGAGTTGCTAATGGACCGAGCGTTAACACGCGCCTTGTGACATTACGAGATTCACGACCGATGCAGGTTTCAACTCGTGTAAGACAGTAGAACGAGCCAAGTACGGTAAGACGCGTCTCTGGGATGCGCGTATAGATATAGGTACTTTTACGTTTATTTGTTTGCGGTGAAAGAAGAAGGAGAAGGAAAAAAATGCGGTAAATCGACGGTACATCAGTGGTGCTTTTGTATGACGCACAGCGAGCCAAACGAATGACGAAAAGAGGATCGGGAGAAGGGAACGAGGTGGAATCCGATATACCAAGCCCGGTTTATGTAATTATACATATATTATATCGAGTGTATCGTGAACACATAAATATATAAATATACACATAGGTACACTCGGTTTATATCCTTAATCACCGAGCTCATCGGTATACGCGACCTGCCATGATGAGGGTTGGGGGGAGACTCGTTATGGGAATACCGTCATTAGAGAGTATCGATGAAAAGCCGGAGACTCGGATTTCGTCGGCGATGCAGATGTTCTGATTACGGTGTATAGCTAAAGTAGCCGATCGAAATGTGTGAGTGAGGGGAAGGGGGGGATGAAAAAAATGAGGGGGGAGTCGATCATCCTTTGGCTTTACAGGAGCGCAATGTAATCCGCGAAGATGCTGTTATGTATAAGGAGCAAAAGTGGGAGGAAGAGGGGTTGACAAGTGTATTTTGGAGACAATAGTCGGACGGACGGGGGGAGCAAACGAGCTAGGGCTTGCAGGTGACGTGAAATTGGAAAACTAGAGGAGATGGAGGGGCGGGGGGATGAGCTGCTCCAAGTACATTAATCTCTGCACGGCGGAGGAGGCTCGACTGATGAAGTAGCAATTTCCTTTTGATAGCGGACGGAAATGGGATCGATACCAGTTGACCGATCTCCGCTCTCTCTCTCTCTCTCTTATTCTTCGTCGCTGTCTCCTTCTCTTTGTCCCTGTATACAGGACAACTCGGGATACGTACATATATATACGAAACGAGAAAAGGTGAAAATCATCAGCGAAAACATAATTGAATTTTCGAGATTCAGGTTGTACCTACGTGCTAAATGGAAAAAGTTGAATTTGGAGGAGCACCAACTTTTGCACCGTTTGGCAAATCGAGCTTTGACAGCTGCACAGATCGCTCGAGATTCGTGAGAATGAGATTTCAGAGGTGTAGGCTTGCAGAGACAGTATAGTATTGGCGGCTCTAATTGTATCGCTTTTTTTTTATTTATTGGCATGTCAAGGATTATTTCATGCTTCATACCTGATTTTGCGCTTAGTCAGATATTGCACCCCATATTTCCCCGTACATCGAGCTGCCGAGTCGACCGCAGGGGGACAGCTCGACATCGGGAAAAACAACGATTAGCATGGGGGGTGGGGACATGGAGAAGTGAAAAGAAAAAAAAGTAAATTCCTAATAAAAGAGCAAACGAAAAAACACACGCTTTTCCTTTCAAGCCGTCAAAACAAAACAATTTGCACGTGGTAGAAGGAGGAGGAGGAGGAGGAGGGAGGTATCCCAATATGTATACATATACACACGGGCATAAATTACTCAATCATTCGATCAATCTCGTCCTGTCGCCGTGCGCCGTTGAAATTCCGCTGTCCCCCTCCTCCTCCTACCTCGCCCCTCGCGCTAACTCTCCCCCGAGGGCTATGTTCCGCGCGGAGAATCAGCGCTATAGGGTGGCTCGCTCTATATTTACTTACGACTGCCAAGGCAATTCGTCACCCCGGCTGGGTATATGCTGCTCCTCCCGTTGTGTTCTCTCGAATGTGGCGGGCTCGCGAACACGATCCTCTGCGGCCCTACCGGATGGACGAACCGACGGACGTTGGCTCCGCGAAAACCGTATTCTCCGGCTCGAATTTGCATCACCTTCTACAGTATACCTGCTCTTGCGCGTCGTACAATGTAGCCGAGTGTGGTTGAACAGTGTACGCGTACTTGAGCGTAATTTCAGCGTTTTGCGAAAGAAAAAGCCAATCTTGATGGTGCACGTTATACGTTGATGCTGATGTAAGTATACAGTAGAAAGGGAATCAAGTCTTTTCGTTTTTCCCAACTTTTACTTTTTAATCGTTGCTGCAAGAGTACTGAAATTTTTTTTTTCTTCGGTCATTCCAAACAAATCGTATTTTCGAGACAAGAGGGCACGTTTATGATCAAGCGTTTTCTTTGATGTAAAAAAAAAATTGTGTTTATTTCTAGAAGGTAGTGATAATAACGCGATTCTGAAAACTGTATCCACAAATCGGTGGGTTAATAGTGTGGCTTATTTGTTCATTTATACCATTGCAAGAGCCATACCATTAATGCACACCCATATGTAATTACGAGGGTGTACTTTAGCCGATTAACCAGACGACAGAGAAATGACACACCAACAAACATACAAAGCGAAAGCTATTTTTTGTTTCCTCGCATCGCGCACTTGATGATTGATAAAAAAAAAAAAAAAAAAAAACCTCCCCCGTGTGGGCATTAAAAGAAAAGCCCTCCCACCCATTAAAATGATTAACTCGAAAAGACGAGAACAGTGCTTGTATTATTTTTCAGCCAAGCAGCGCGCGCTTCTAAAAAAGTGCATATAATCCTTGGCTTGGCTAAAAAATTGCTTAGCCAGCAGCAGCGTGAAATAATCGCGCTCATTAGGCGAGGGAGGGGGAGGAGGAAAAAAAAAAATTTCCCGCCCAAGTCGGAGGCTCGGAAAAATCCAAGCTCTCGGCGCATCAAGCGCGCATTTTTGTAAATTAATGTCACCGGAGTGCCGTATAATCACCTCGAGCTCGCTCTCCAGTATATACATAGGCACCCTCTTCTGCGTATACAGGAGCAGGTGTGACATATTACAAAGATAACGCGCGCACGCGTGTGTTTGTGTGTACATGTAATGAGAAGAAAAAAAAGTCTCCTCCAATGGAACTTATGTAAGGTGTGCATGCACTGAGAGAAACACCAAAATTATGTAGTAGTTTGACCATAAATTAACACTTCGCACTATAAATCGGATGCGAGTTGACGGAAAAAGAAAAAATTTGTTATTTTTAACAGTAACATTAGATTATGGATTTCCTTTTTTGCCAACTTGCATCCGATTTACAGTGCGAAATGGTAGTTTTTGCTGAAATTTCTCTATAATTTTCTATTATTTTTTTTTCTCTCAGGGTGTATAATTGCCTCTGTACTGTGGGATTAAAAAATTCCAATCCACTTAAGATCCTCCTTCCCCGTGTGAATTGGGGCGTCACTGAGTGACACTTAGCAGCTTTTCTCTATCGTCTGCTTCTCTCTATTTTTTTTTTTTTTTTTTTTCTTCCGACACAAAGAGAATAGGCACATAATGTTATACACTGCAGGGCCCACTCGAGTCGTCGCCCTTCTTTTGAAACACACACGAGGACGCGTTTCAATAGCCATCGTGTACAGCTCTGGTTTAACATCGGCCGTCTTGCCATGTGGATGAGAACCATCAGCGACGAAAAAAACGCTCCGAATACTGACAGATTATAGCGAAGGAAACGGGAATGGGCGTGAAACCGAGACGTGATTTAAAAAAAAAAATTAAAGTGGGTAGGAGAGATGTTTCTTTATTTTACAACTTGTTTGAACACGACGAGTACACCAGTACGGAGTCTTGGTTTAAAATTCGCAACGGGCGTCGGAAAGTTGGCCGCAACGCAACTGAGTTTCTCTCGAAGCGAGGAAAAAAATAAATACAAGAAAGTAAGATCTCAAAAGAGCCCCGAACGACACCGATTCGCGGAGACACGCGCAATTAAACTCCCCGGGTGCTATTTATATATGCGAGCGAAACTTTTTCAATGGCACGAGATTTCGCTAAATAAAAAAAAAAAAAAAAAAAGAACAAAAAGGATCAATTGTCGCGCTAAAATGAAAAAAGGGCCCGCAACAGCCCTTTGCCGAAGATTTTTTCACGAGCAGTAGTAGAACAGGGCGCAAGTAATCGATTCTCGCTCGCTTTAGCCCTGGAGTACAGTGTACCGTCGGTTGGCCGCGGCCGTTTACCCCGTACCGGATGATAAGGCGCTTGCTTTTACGAACAAGTTCTCACCGGTGGATAAAACGAAAAAAAAACATGAGTCCAATACGTGCAATTAGTCACCGCGCGTTTTGACGAGTACAGATTTAATCCAAATGTTAGTGTATGGAGGGGAAGCGAGAGAGAGAAGAGCATATAAATACATCAGAGTGCCATATCCCTGTACGTGATACCCATCGCGCTCCTGTATGAAAAAAAAAAAAAGCGAAACGGGTTTTCATATCCACTCGTTTGAATCGTACCGGTGATGCATACTTATTAATATTATTCTGTTTCTCGAGCGCATCTTCAAATCAAGCGATCGGCTGGCCAAGCTATGCGTTTCCAACCGAGATAAACGTACGTGCTTGCCAAATAAATGAAAAAAAAAAAAAAAAAAAAAAAAAAAAAAAAAAAAAACAGAGGGGCGCTTGGCTCGCGCCAAAAGCTCCAATCCGCGCCATAAGCTTTCAAAAGCCAGCCCCTCTCGGCTGTGTCGCCAAGCGCGACGAGGGATGAAAGCTCGGGTGATGGCGCTTCGGTCGCGTATCGATCGTGCACACGAGGGATGAAGGGGGAGCATAGGTATGCTGTTGTGTTACACCCCCACCCCCCCCCATCGTGAGAGTTTAGTCACGAGCGCCGAGCCTCGCCCGACGCGCACCGCAAAAGGACAAGCGCCCATCCTTCCCTCCGGGGCCTTACGAGGAGCGCCCGGAGATGCACCGGGTCCTCCTACTCGCAGCCACCGTCGTCGCTGTAGCCCTCGCTGATGGTGAGGTCTTTTCTTTATCTTCTCGTTTTGTACACTCTTGTGCCGTTGTCGCGATTTCGGACGCGAGGGGAGTGCGCCTATATACGGTTGGATTCCAAGTGTAAACATTGAGCTCACGAGGAGCTTATTACCACAAAGAAAGCCCATCCAGGACTTTGTTGGGTGTTGTTTATTTTTGTTTCAAGCTTTCGTTTCTCAACGAGTGGACGCGCAAGCTTGAGCTCGGGGGGGGTTAAGGGTGGGATGAACTTTGCGCAAGTGCTACGCCCACTTTTGACAGCTGCGGAGCACTGTTTTGGTCCCACCCTCCCTCTGATTTTGTGAAACTTGTTTGTTAATTTTTTTATCTGTATTGAATAATTGTTCCCACTGTTGTGTTTGGCTTTTTTCAGCATCTCTTTTTTTGATAACTGTCACTATCCTACACAAAGTTATAATTTTTGGCTGAATAATTAAGTAAATGCGTATTGTTGACTTGGTATTATAAAAGCCACTTGGAGCTCAATCCCTGCATGGGCTTAAATAAATACTCCCAATCAATCGTCTCTTTGACTGTGTTGTTGCGGTGGGTGTGTTTTCTTTCTCTCTTTAAATTTATCTGTATACAAAAATGGATACAAAAATTTATCTGGATACAAAAATACTTTGCATTACTAAACATCAAATTACTCGCCATAGACCTTTTTCTTGTACATGCTGCTTTTTTTCAATGTATATATTCAACTTTTGCGTATGGGTGTATACTTTGACGTAAATCACAGCGTGTATATGTATATATATACATGCAGGTACACTTTGAGTATGAGAGAAAATTATATTTACCGAAGAAATTGTAGGGTAAGTATAGGGTATTTATTTCAGTGTACATACACGTATAATAAATAACACGCGTGTGTATTTTCTGCCTGTGTTTATATTATATAGGTTTTCACCCGGAAATCAAAAGCTTCGAGGCGAATCCTGACGCTAAACGGCTGTACGATGATTTACTGTCCAATTACAACAGGCTCATTCGGCCGGTCATTAACAACACCGAGACCCTCACGGTATGGATGAGAGTCAAATTATCCCAGCTCATTGAGATGGTAATTTCTTTAACCTTCCTACTCTTGAAGAAAAAAAAAATCTCTTTACACTCGCATTGTTTGTCTTTTTTTTCAGAACTTGAAAAATCAGCTGATGACGACGAATGTCTGGGTCGAACAGGTAATCCCCTCGAGGGTTCCATACTCGTTTCAACTATGTAGACAACTACCAAAATGATACAATTCGATTATCCCCAAAATGGACCAAATTTTCGTCGCGTCGAGTACAATTAAGCTCGTGCACACAAGCGATTAAAATTAATCGAAGCACCGAGAAGCAAAGTAAAAAAAAAAAAAAAAAAAAAAAGAAGACGAAGGTAAGTAAGAAATAAAAGCCTCGCGCGCACATTTTTACGGATGATCGAACGAGCGCAACGACGGGGAAGACTTGAATGAGCGCTGCAAGGTATCGTACACGCGCCAAACAGGTTTGCCGCTCGCGTGCTCCGACTTTTTTTTTCTTCTTAGCTCTATTTCCGTTCGTACATCCGATACGTATCATACATACTCCGCAAAATGCAATAAAACTGCGGCAACTATAGGGTTTTTCTCGATAAAACACAGATTAAAGTCTTTCTTCGTGCTTGTTGCTGCTACCATTTGACTGGACGCAGAAATGGGTCGATTACAAGCTGCGCTGGGACCCGGAGGAGTACGGCGGCGTGCAGATGCTGTACGTACCCTCGGAGAACATATGGCTGCCCGACATCGTCATGTACAACAAGTGAGTCATACACCTGTATACGCGCCTCGATAGCTCCTTTTGATTGTTTTCCCCTCTACGTGTAAGTAAAGAGCTCCTTCTCTCCAGAGACTGGAGTCCACTTCGCCAAAAAAAAAAGGCATCTCAAGACATCCCGGTCCCACTTGTAATTCCCGATCATTACAAGCTCCCTTGCTGCTGTAACACACAAACTCGCGCGCGTCATCTTTTTTCCTTCCTCCAACGAAACGCTGTATACCCCCCGCCGGGGGCACACCCGATTCATTTCGGTTGTATCGCCCGTATCTCCAGCTCCGCGTGAATGACATTTTCTGCAATTTCACCTGTTGCACGCGGTTCTTGTCCACAGTGCGGACGGGAATTACGAGGTGACGCTGATGACGAAGGCCACGGTGAGCTACACGGGCGAGGTCCAGTGGAATCCACCGGCCATCTACAAGTCCTCGTGCGAGATCAACGTCGAGTACTTTCCGTTCGACGAGCAGTCCTGCTACATGAAGTTCGGCTCGTGGACCTACAATGGCATTCAGGTACGTGTGCACCTGTGAGTAAAAAACAAAGAAAAAAAACAGTAGGTGTGTACGTAAGGGTATGGTCATACTTCCATCAGGTGGATTTGAAGCACATGGACCAGGAGTCCGGGAGCAACGTGGTGCAAACTGGAATTGATTTGAGCGAGTTTTACCTGTCGGTCGAGTGGGACATACTCGAGGTGCCGGCCTTGAGGAACGAGGAGTACTACCCCTGCTGTAACGAACCTTACGCCGGTACAATTAATATTATTATTATTATTATTATCATTACCTACATGCATTTGTACCGTCCAATAAGTAACACGCAATCTGCTTCGTTACATACATCTTATGTATACCTCTGATTGCAGATATTACTTTCAACATTAAAATGAGAAGAAAGACGTTATTCTACACGGTCAATCTGATCATACCTTGCGTGGGTATTACCTTCCTCACGGTTTTGGTCTTTTACTTGCCAAGCGATTCTGGGGAAAAAGTTAGTGTATAATGACATAGAGCCTTTCGTCGATCGATTCGCGGAGAAAACGATTTTTATCTCTTTTTCTGCAGGTCTCGCTGTGTTCCTCGATTCTTCTGTCGTTGACCGTGTTTTTCTTGCTATTGGCAGAAATAATACCGCCGACGTCGCTCGCTATCCCACTGCTCGGCAGATACCTACTCTTCACGATGATACTCGTCTCCCTGTCCATGTGGCTGACCGTCTGCATCCTCAATGTCCACTTCCGGTTTGTAACCCGTGCAAATATTGCAAATATTGCAGTGTGACCGTTTGATATCTCTGCCAACAAATTGTTTTTCGTTTTTAAGATCACCGTCGACGCACGACATGTCGCCGTGGGTGCGCTCGGTGTTTCTCCACTGGATGCCTCGGATCCTCATGATGCGCCGGTCGCCTTACTCGACGCCGGATTACGACGATACCTACTTGGACAGCGGATACACCAACGAGATGGACTTGAGGTAATTAGTTGCAGTAACGACGGTATCGACTACTATCTGCAATCATTTTTAAGGGGCTCGTACATAGGTGTCGTATTTTCATCTAATAAAATTGCGAACAAATCAGGTTTGACTCCGCGATGGATGAAAATAATTTCGTCATTAACAATTTTTTTAACTAACCAAAGGATAAGAGTTTTTAACTTTATTCCAAGTTGAGTGTAACTTGCAATGAAACGATGAACATGATTTTCATACGATTCGTCATACTTTGGTTCACAAGTACCTTTATTTCCAGTTCGCCACGTTTCCCCACGTATCCTCGTGATTTTTCATCAATTTCGACGCAGACGAGCTAATAAAGATACATTTGTGACTTTTTTTAGAAAAACGTAACATACACGCAAATTGCCGTCGCAATGAATAAAATTTATGTCGTGCATAAAACGCGTTTCATCAAGTTCTAATAAACTCGTTAAAGTGCCAATGCCGGCACTTGTAATCTGACCATCCGAGTTTTCGCCAAGGACCAAAAAACACGACGTGATTCGCGGCACAGCAAGACACCCCTTTACTCTTAATTACCAAAGAGAAAAAAAATTTAATCGCCACGCATGTACATACTAAATACACGACCAAGTCCTCGTTTTTACTACCTTCCTGCCAATATTAGCCTACTAAGTTTACACGTATACTGGAGAGCTGATCTCAAGAATCAGGGCATCGTAATCCTGAGCAAGTTCCAATTTTAATTAGGACGACGTCCCTTTCTTTTCGCGTTAACCTTGTTATATCTTTTTTCAATGTTTTTCATCGCATCCGGAGCAGCTTCCGCGACAGCATCAGCGAGTACCCATCCGAGTCCAAGGGCAGCCCCGACGGCTTCGAGAGCGTCACCGCGGCCTACAAGAACATCCGCGACGAGGAGATGCGCCACATACCCCACGCCTCCGGTGAGTACGTGTGTGTATAATATATTGCACGAGGAATTCCCATGCGAGAAACCGGATTTTGAATCCTTTGCTGCCTGTCGCGTGCCACCGAGGCGGCGAGGCTTTTTTGATCGTAAGGGCGTGCGTAATGAACGAACGCTGGCTGGGCTCTCTCTTGATCGATTTTTTGCGCCCAAGAGAGTTAATTTTCTCTCCACCTCGCCATGGGGCATATTGGATTTTATTTCACCCTTCCTTTTCTTTTTTGTTGTTGCTGTTCGTGTGCAGTGACCGACAGCGAGAACACGATGCCGAGACATCTGTCGCCGGAGATTTCGTCGGCCCTCCAAGCGGTCAGATTTATCGCGCAACACATCAAAAACTCGGACAAGGACAACGAGGTGTGTATGTCATATATTCTTTATGTTAATTTTGGTAAGTGCTTCGAGCGATTAATTGAGGGGAAATTATATTTTTAAGAAGCAAAAAAATATCAGTTTACCAATTAATCGGTATGGATTATGATCAAAGGGCTACATCAAACCGTGGATGAAATTTGATTGAAAATTTATTCTTGTATTTTAAATTACATTTATTAACCATTTTCATCGTGTTCTTACCAATTACTCTTTGATCACGTAAAGAAATTCGCAATATTCATGAAACAACGAACTAGAGCTGTCCGTTTCAGCAACTCAACAATTTTTCAACGTTTGTACAAAGACTATCTTATGATGATAAAAAAAATATCGTTTTTCTAAAGCTAATAATACCTAAAATAGAAGTAAGATTCTCTCAGTATGCTTCTTAAATGACATTTTTTTTATTTGAAGCATTGGGAAATATTTCTCGTCTTGATTTTGTCATTGTCTTTTAAGAAAATATGTTAAAAAAAAAAAAAAAAAAAAAAAATCTACTCAAGTTATATACACTTGTAGTACACATTAGTTAGGCACTGCACACAAATTGCTCGTAAGAGCTGTAACATATTTTTTTTTATTCATACACCATACTATTGACGCGTTTATGAGCATTGGTTAAAATAGTTATAACATGCCTAATCCAGACCCTATATCAAATTAAATATTACGCAGGTTATTGAGGATTGGAAATACGTGGCCATGGTACTTGACAGATTTTTCCTGTGGGTCTTCACGCTGGCGTGTATCATCGGTACAGCAGGAATAATTTGCCAAGCGCCAAGCCTTTACGACACAAGGGTGCCTATAGACCGTCAACTGTCAAGTATACCATTACGAAAGGCCAATACGATGCTTCCCGAAATTGGAGCTAATTACATGCTCCCACCTCAGTCATTTATGGATAACTAAACGAAACCTTTTTCTGCGACCAACGAAAACCAACCCATAAACAATGCGCACAAAAACGAATTCATCACATGGTTCCATCATAATATATGTACGCTACATTTCATACTGAGAAAAATATTATTATTGACAAATAATGATATTAATAATTGTAATAAAGAATTTTGGTTAAATCTAACACATGGTTAACTCATTCGTTATTTCTGTAGTCCGCATACTTATTAAAAATTATGTCTAAAACACTATAAATATTTCATTGTGGAAAATTAAAATTTTTTCCCAGCATATTTCACAAGACTCCCAACAGCATTTAAATAACATGACAATCTTTATACAATGGCTGTACAACACGGTGCACTTCACTTTGTACGTTATTTTTCCAATCGCCAGTGCACCAACTCTTACTTTTATCCATGAACGCGCTTACAACTACGTGGTTTATAAAAAGTTAGACTCTTAGTCTAAGTCGATAATCATACATTCAGGCGAGTCACTTGTACTACTTATAACACTGGTGCTTGCGTTATTGGCTTGAGATTTTGCTGGAGATGAAAGTGCCTGTCTCTTGGAGGAGCTTTGGGAAATGACATCATCGTCATCTTCGCTATCGGATATCAAATCTATTACAAGTGCACGTTTTCTTTCTTTTGGTGCAGGTGTAGATGATTTGCAACTACTTTCATCTGCAACAAAAATTTAATACAAGTTTAGTCATGAATGATCGAACTATGATGATGGTACAATTGATTTGCGTTACAGTTTTAATACATGAATATAAAGAAAATAAAATTACAATTACCAAGATCAACTGTTACGTCAACTTCTTTATTTGAAGCATTGCTTTCAACTTTTTCACTTTTTTCTTTTTCCTTGTCCTTATTTTCTTTCTTCACCACCAAGTTCTCCCACGAACCATCTTGAAGTAGTTGAATTTCGTTGACGTCCGGTAATAACTTGTTTGAACTCAAGACTTCTTGGAAATAACCATCAATTGTTAAATTATCGTACAATGCTGTTTTATCGCAAACTGGGCAGTTCCATGTAGGCTTTCTTTCGTTCATTTGTAAAAATAAAGAAGCATCGAAGCACTGTAAATGTGAGCATGTCGATGCGCGACACGGTGTGCTCATACGCATCTTTCCAAGCGGACATGCCAACGATACTCTGAGAGACGTAGTAGCAATTTCACTGTCTGCATCTTCATTGAGCTTCTCTTTGACTAAATAAATAGTTGTCATGTGATGAAATGCAAAATCCAATTCTCAGATTTTTGGTGATTTGTTTTATAAGTATACTTACTTAGACCTCGAGTGTAATCAGAATGTTTACATCCTCTATTCTTTAATCTCATTAAAAGTTCAGAACTAGTAAGTTTTTTTACAAGATAAACTGCAATAGCATATCTTCTTCCATAATCAGCTGACCATGTTACAGATATCTGATTTGCTACTGTTGGAGATAGTTTTACAAGGGGGCTAATGTTTACTGGTCTAGGCGGTCTCTTTGGTTCAACACCAGGTTTATTTGTAGGGATAGGATTCTGCAAGAGAAGATAGGATTTAAAAAATCTATTTGTTCTAGTTTTTGCATACATAACACTGTTAACTACGTGATTACTTACTGGTAAAGGACACATCTTTCCGTTAACTTTTACATTAATACTGGGTGGGAAATAGTCCTCTTGTTCGCAGGAAGTTTCTTGAAGGCAAAATCTCATTTGCACCTATAAAACATTACGTCACTTTACTTTGTTTTAAGTATTCAAAAATTTTTTATGTACGATTCTTACCTGCACAGTGTAATCCATTTTACTTCCTGTCCTACAATCGCGTGAACTGGCAATATCTGTAGACTGTTGCGGAGTCAAGTGAAAAACAAATGAATTCTCTTGCAACCTTAACGTGCCCTGTGGCATTAAACTTGACGGTTTTAATAATTCACCAAGCATATCAAAAAATGGTAATCTTTTGAATTTAACGTCTGGATGAACTGGGTATTGAGCTGGTTGAAGAGATAAAGGTGCAGGTAAGGACATAACTTTTTGTTGAGTATAAGCATTGTACGCTCCAGGATAAACAGGATTTGTTGTTCGAGACTGAAAGAGAATTTTTCATGTCAACATTGTTCATAAAATTAAGAAATCTTTAATTTAACAACTGTGATATAAAGTTGTTACTTACTTGTGGTGTTACACTAGTGTAACCAGGAGTTTGAAATACTGGAGCTGTTCTCTGCCCTACCTGAGATTGAGGAATAGAAGCTTGGTGAGCTGGTGGTAAATCTTTGGTTGGTTGAACAGCTTGTTGAGACTGCTGTTGGCTCAAAGATTGAGCATGTCCTTGTCTACAGGTCATTATAAAACACATTTTTATTATTGAAAACTAATGGACATTTGAAAAAAACGCAATGGTAAAGGTGGTCTGACTGTATTATAGGTTAGAATAAACAAAAAGTGAAGAAAAAAACAAAAGCTAACTAAGGGCAGAAAATTCAGGTTAGACACAAGTTACACACTAACCGTGTAAAGTAATTTCTGGAATGCATGCTCGTTTCGATTTGTGGTTCAGCTGCGGCTCCACTTTGACCATACATTTGATGAGCAGCCAGTTGATCAGCCCTGGGATTAAAATAATCATAGTAACGTTTCCTTTTTTTCTTCATATTTTCTACGCTTTGTTTCACTTTTGTACCAACTTTTTCAAACATTTAAACAAAACATAATGCACTAACACAACAGGAACTAGAAAATTAAAATTCTTACTGGATGCTCTTGTACAGCTCACGTATCTTGAGCTGTACTGGATGCGATCTGAGACGCAGCAGTTCTAACGCACGTGCCTGAAGCTCATTCTTGCGCCCAGACTTGTTCCGACCAGCAAAGCCTAATAACATCTGTAGTTCGGATACGCGAAAACTTAATACCATATTCTGAAACATTTTTAAAAATATAACTTGTTAATAGAGTGCCATTACCTACCGTTTCAAAGAATTATTATAATTTGATCTCTCACTTACAACTAAACTCTCAAAAATGTACACGTTCTTTCATGACTCATTTACTACAAAATAATTATTTCAAGTATTCGTATCATACAACGACGCAGCACTCACAACAACGATCTCTGTATACAACGAAACCAAATCTTACCTAAAAAATCAACCGTTACTGTTTTTAACACCATGTTCTAAATAACCCCGTACTTAAATAAAGAATTACAATAAGTAAATGTAGACGTACTTATTTTTTTACAAATGAAAATCAAACAAAACAAAAAAAAACTAACAATATGCACGTATATGTGTATCCTTATTGCGCCCACTGATAATTCCCAGAATTGTAGGTTAGGGTCGAACATTTACTATACATAGACCATTTGCGAAAGCGCGAAATCGCTTCGTTAACCCTTCGACTGCGCAGTCTAAACCATGTCTGTTCGATGCACTTTTGGCAGCACCACCCCAACGCGTTCCAAAACGTTAGACTGCAGTGGGTGTAACCGCGTCTCGCGACAACTCCCACTACGCATCTTTCCGAACACATACGCAACAATCTTATTTCCCCCGCTTTGATACACTCCTACAGCCAATTGCCGCAACCACGATGTTATTTTGCACAATCAAGCCTACAAAAAAAATTTAATGCAGAAAGCAAATGGTAATCATCGGGGAAAATTCGTCGAGTCGCCGCTTATGTGGGCGTCCACGGAGCCACGCGCTATTTCATGCAGATTGTCAACAATCTTAAGGAAACAAAATACACCTTGGCCTAGCCCGCTCTCGCCAAGGCGAAGCTAAAGTATACAGATCCCGGCAGATGTCTGTCGGTCTACCTCCCTACCTCTACAGGCAGACTGGAATTGTAGAATTTATTCAAGTACAGTGTGTGGAGTCGCAGGTTACCTCAAGTTCTTCCATTTCCGTCGACATCTCAGCGGTGGAGTACTTGGCTGCAGACGACGCCGAGCAAGTAGTGTGACCGGCTCCTCGGAGACGAGGTAACTGCCGCCTCCTGGTGAATGTGCAACTAACTTGCCCTCCCGTGCACTGCAAGCGTCGTCTTTAGGCTGCCGCTATCGCAATTGTCTGTTGCTGACACTCTCTCTAGTGCCGTCCTTGTAGCATCCTCTCTCTCTCTTCCCTTCTTCAACGGCTCGATTTCTCTCTCAGCTGTGGGGTCGGAGAGTGATATATAGAGTGTACAGATTATTTTCACAAAAACTCTCTCTTTACTCCTTTCGAAGGAGCAGACGCCACAAAACACCCTTCGGGCCTTTTGTAGCTAATTTTTATTTTCATTTCAACTTGCATAGTCCGTTTTGGATTGTGCAAAGTCGAAAATTACGAGTTTTCTGACAGATCCGTATTTTCCGTACGGGTATACAGTGCAAAAAACTACGAGATCGCTGCGACCCGCAGCCAAGCCAAGACAGGCCAAGACTGGACTAGACACGTTTCGCAGTAACCTATACTTACCTATACAAGCGTTCGAAATCGTAGTATATATTATATACAGTAAAGAGTAAATGAAAGGAAAGGTTTTCCAAGATGGCCGACAGTCAAGAGACTAGGCTCTGTTCTTTTTGGACGATTGAGGTTATCTTCAAAGTTTGTCTGATTGCAGGAAGGAAACTCGACTTTTCGGGGGATTTCGATCCAATTGTTACTCTGCGAAGACTTACCTTTAGATTTCCATCAGAAAATTCCAGACTTCCACTTTTAATATGCTGGTTATCGTAATTAATGCTAAGCCAAACCAAGAATGATGTATTATATATAATATACAAATTGTCCAGAATTACTTGTCCAAACCCCGTCCTTCGATTTTCGATTTAAAGCTTTCACACGAGCGACTAGCCGGGAAGGGGGGGGGGGGCTATGCATGAGTTATTTGCGGTGTATCAATTCTCAAATCGTATGGTCGACGTAAACTTAACCTTTTTTCCGTTAACTTCAACACAAATGACATCGGAAAACCCATACGAAAGTGCCACGTATCGCAATCGCATATACTTATATCATGAGTAGAGCCTCAGGGACTGTCTTGAAGGTCTAATCGTGGCATTCGATATATCTGAGAATAAGTGTATCAATTGTGCTTCTGGTGACTTTCCAGCGTTCTGTCGAATCAGGAGTGTTAGATTTTTCCGAGCTAAAGAAAATCGTGGCATTGAATCGCAAATTTTCCTTGGCTCAAAAAAAATCCAGCGTTCCGATGACAAATCAGAGCGCTGGATTTTTTCGAGCTTGAGCCGAGAAAATTTTGCGATACATCGATTCCACCATTTTGGTAGTCTAGCAGCCAATCACTTTCGTTTATAGCATTTACATGATTTTCCCATCCAAATGAGCTTTATTCTTTTTTTGATAGTTTTCTATAGCTTTAACCATAAAGCAGCATATACATGAAAATAATTGTTGAAGAGTCCTTCAGTATGTATTAGGCCGCGGGCACATGGAGAGCGTGACGCGTGTTGCGTAATTATTTGAGCCCATGAGAGTGAGAGAGAGGTAAAGTACGCGAACTTCTCTCTCACTCTCATGGGCTCAAATAGTTACGCGGTACGCGTTACGCTCTCCATGTGCCCGCGGCCTAAGAAGAGCATAAGTAGAGTCCCAAAGTCTTTGTCCAGCTCGTATTTTCCACCTTGGACAAATTTTCCCTGAACAAATCTAGGTCGTTACGTTGTGGAGATTGTACTAATTTTGTGAACCGCTGACTGCACTTCAATATCATACAATATTATTAAGTACGTCATTTGTTCCACACATCATGTAAGGAACACAATTTATTGTGCGAGTAAGGAGAATACTCTTTTGCATCCATAAAATTACTATTTTGGACAAGTTTCTTGTAATTGTTCTTGATTCTTTAAAACAATGCTAACATCTGTAATTTGGAATCTTCCATAGCATTAAAAAAAAATTTAATGAGTACCCTACAGCAAGCCATCACGTAAGAAACCAAGTACTTATAATTTTCAGTTTTTTTAAATAGTAAACTCTTGTTGAAAGAAAATTTAGTATTTTTTTGATAAAAAAAAAAAAAAAATGAGACCTCCGTGGAAGAATTACATAAAAACAAAGTTATATTTAAGTGTTTATTCAATTTATCATGGTATAAAAAAATTAAACAAAGACATAAATGATTTTTATCAAACTACAACAGTACATTTTCAAACTTGGTTCCTTTTTGTACATACTTGAACAAGGAAATTTTTACTAACTTAAAATACGTCAATAAATATTAAGCTAAAGCGTAATGCAGATTTTTATAAGAAAAATATCCTAACAACTTTTGCAATAATTTAAAAAGCTTAAAAGTACATTTTTCAAACTAAATTCAAATATACAACTTATATAGTACATTTAGTTACATAGAATCACATTTGTAATCGCAAACTAAACGATTATCGTGAGTAAATAAAATACTTGGAAGGCGTATGATACTATAAAAAAAAATCCACGCTTATGAGTCATCAGTCTTGTATTGTTTCAGTGTTGAATGCATCACTGAATTCTTGTAATTTGTTCAGCATCATCGTGGTTTCAGCTTCATTGCTTTTGTAAATAAAACACTCATCAGCAAATACAACAAATGTATTAATACTCCTCCTCGTCGTAGCCGTCATACTCATCCTCATCATGTCCGAGCAATTTACTAACAGACATTTCTTCTTGTTCCGGCTCTTCATCATCAAAGTAATCGTCGGCATCGTCTGCAATTAAAGTAAAACATATAATTTCTATGCATAATATAACACTGAGTGAATGAAAAAATACTCACCAACTTCATTACTCTCGTCAAAGTCACTAGTATTTACAGGTACAGTTGGAGGTATGGGAACAGGCTCTTCGGCAGGCTCCACCACAGGCTCCACCACAGGCTCCTCATCCAAATGCGAAGCATCTCTCTTTCTGGATGTACTAATATTGACTGTTGGTTTTTTCCTAACAAAATCAACTACTTTATGTGCTGGCTTTTTGGGGCTACTACTGCAAAATAATTTATTGTGCATAAAATGAAAAAAAAAAATTTCAACGACAGTCCAGTCATTAATACAATGGGAAATACTTACAATGTGCTCACTGTTGAACGAGTATCTTTATCAACAGCTTTAGGTGATACAAATGCTATATCATCAGGGATTTGAGGCTTTTCTTGAGCCTGAGTATTTGTGTTAAGACCAACATTCAAGCTTTTAAGTACCTCGTAATTAATTTTGGACGATATCCGTTTTTCCTTCAGCATCTTTTCAATCGCTTCATCTAGTATCGCGAGGATAAATATAAATTTATAATTCATTCATCGAATAACATTTGAAATAATCGAACTTACTTGCACTATTGGCTGGGGTTTGATTTTTGTTCCTCTTGGATGATCTTCTTCTCTTTTTCTCTGGCTTTCCCTCTTCCTTCTCCTTTAACCGCTTCTCTTCCTTTTTTTTCTGTTCTTCCAAATATTTTTCGTTTACCTTGTTCCACAAGTTTGTTTTAGTTTGCGTTTCTTTTTCGGTCATAATGTAACCATCCAACTCATCGTCGTCCAAATCAGTGATATCGACTTCTCCGGTAAGCTGAAAATCAACCACATGATAAATACCCACCAACTGACTTATTTCGGGCAAAAAAAAAAAAAAGACTTGCACAACGAAAAGTACAAAATCTCACATTTTCGAACGATAACGTGGACAACTCTTTGGTCGTGTTCTTATTGTGCAAATATTCCGATAAGCCCATTGACGCGATGTCAGGTCCGAGTCCAGCTGCGAGAGAACTTTCCTTCCGTTGGCCGTTCACAACATCAAGAGTGTCGGAATCTTTTCTAACGCATTCATCGATGACACTTATATTGGACTCCCTGATGAACCTTTCTGCATCGGATTCCTCAAGCGTCGTTGAAGCTTTAAGCAATAAAAACACATTCAGTGATCGAGTAAAAAAAAAAAAAAAAGAAAAAAAAAATGTGATAAAAATACATTCGACAGATTACCGTGCCTCGCTTTTCTCTTGGACGATTTTTGTTTCTCCAATTGCCTATCTATTTCCGATTGCAGTTCCGTAAACTCGTTCGCCATATTTTCCAACTGTAATTACGAATTGTTTTTTTATTTATTTTTTTTCTTTGAATAAAATGACAAAAGTACGAAAAATACCTTCTGCAACCGTTCCCTATCTTTTTTTCTCGCGGCTTTGAAAGCTGGAGGATCTTGTTCTTCTTCCAGATCGACGGCCATGAATTCGTCAAGGGTCAAAGCGCTCGACGGCGTGTCGCCAAATTCGATTAATCTACATTGTTAAATTATTTATTTTAATTGTGGCTTACAAGGGGAGGAAGTATATATCTTTTTTTTTCAATTTAGTTTGATTTTTTGAGAAAAAAAAAAAAAAAATAACATTTGTAAGTATACCTCTTTCTTAAGGTTGATTCGTGGACTTTGACGATCTTTATGATGTCGTTGGGTGATCTGTTAAATTCGTGTAGCCTGGCGGCCATCAGAAGGGCTAAAAGTACAAGTTGAATTTTTTTTTGTTCTTTGTGTATCATGAAAAAAAAAAAAAAAAAAAAAAAAAAAAAAAAAAAAATCCCAGTACCTGCACCACACAGACCAGAAGGTCTGCGGCCGCTGTGGATGCTATCTCTTTTCATTCTCTGCACGATGCGCAACGCAGTCATGTAAACCTCGTGTGTTTTTTCCCCAAACTCGAGTTTGTTCGCAAACCGTAGGATGTACAAACATGGGTCTGCAAATAAATATACACGAGCATCTACATTGAAAACTGTCTGGTGGGAAGATTTTTTGAAAAATCTATCGACGAGACGTCGTACAGAAAAAAAAAAAAAAAAAAATCAAATACAAATAACACAATGAAAAGTGCTGTTGCAAAAGCAATGAGAGAAAGTTCAATGCTGCACCTGTAATGAAATTTACAAAAAATCCAAGTGTCCAGCACCGTGGCTTTTTGCGGCACAGGTACAGCTAGTATTTTGTAACGTGCACGAAATTTGCAAAGTCTACTCTCTGTGGGCAAGCAGCGTGTACGTGTTATTTTGGCAATATATACAATGCAACCTATATCCCCTATACGTGGCTTCCCATACTGCGCTTCGCCGACGTCTCCTATAATCGACCGCCGCTGACTTGCTGGTGGGATATAAATACCACGGGTCGTGCAGGTGGTGTCTATGAATTTTAGAGAGTTAAAGCCCCCGTTTGCGCCCGAGACATGCAAAAAAGGGAGAAAGAAGAAAAAGGAAAAAAAAAAAAAACAATACGCGTAGGTATATATTATACACAAGGCGATGGGGAAAAGGGAGTGGTTGCACGTACATATACATATAGAAGGTTCGAGGGATGGGGCTATTGTTGCCGGCTCGTCTCTTTTTCTTGTTCTCCCTAATATATATATATATATATAATGCACGTATGCACGTATACCTTATACACAAGTATTGGCTATGTATACGATATAAATATAAATAACGTGTATCAGGGATCGCAGGGCACGGTGAAATTGAAATTCAAGCTATGGGTATGTAACGAGAGGAAAAAAATTGAATGTCATCTGCAGAAATGACGGTAGTGAATTGGAAATGCTCTACGTCTTAATTTTATAGGTACATGTACACCTATGCATCGTACAAACAAAAGTTATAATGCAGTTGCTTCGTTGTGAATCTAATAGTGGCTTTGGGTGAAGGTAAATTAATTATCGCTCAATTATTGTGTGTTTGACATTTGTAACTTTTGAGTTGCGAACAATAGGACGGTAAGTAGTATTTTTATTCGACCAATTAAATTTATGATTGAATCCGCACAAACGGTGGCGTCGCGAGTAATGTTTTTTATAGATGAAAAAACAAGCGATTAAAAATATTTTTTCCTAAATTATTTCGGAGCCTTCAAAACCTATCTCATTGGAAAAACTTGGAAGCACATATGAGGCGTTTCATCTCAACTCACACACCCAGCCGCGCAAGCTAAAAAATATCTTCTTTTTAGTCAATGATTACAATCACGTTAAGTACTAAATTAAATTATTAAAAATACAGGATCAATGTATTTTTTCCTCAGCTTTCTTATGCAATTTTCGGAATCACAAAAAAAATAAAACATAACCTCGAAAAATGAAAAACAAAAAAAGAAGGCGTTTTATCTCGAAAAGTCCATTTTTTTTCTTTTTTTTTTACGGCTCCAATCGAAAGATCAGGTCTTTTTACGTCGGTATAGTAATTTTCAGGAAGGTGTTATTTTTTTTTTTTTTAAATATAAAACTTTGAAATTTATGTTGTATTGTAGCAGCGGTATATGCAATGAGTTGGGTTCGGCTTTTTGAAACTGCTATTTATTTATTCGTAAATGAAAAATTAACAACGCATTATAGCACACTATATATAAATATGTCTATTGTTTATTAATAAACCTTATCTTTACAATAAATATCATTAAAATATAATAAAAATGGTAATAGAACTGATGCCAAGTAAGTTATTTTTGTTTTGTATCGCAGATTTTCCAGAGTTCTTCAATAATGGTTTTACAGTTTTTATTACTTTTTTTATTTTAGTTGTCTTAATTTTGCTAGCGTTTTTGGAATCCATTGTTTTTTTTTCCTTCTTTCTTTATTTTTGGAAAAATTGCAAGATCAGGACTCAAAGATGTTTTTTTTAAAATGAACGTATTATTGTGTGAGGAAATGATAGCATGGTACTGCAGTGTGCCAGCTTCGTGATATCGATTACTACAATCAATTTCTTTCCCATCATGTTTACGTTTACGATCTTCTTTCAATGAAATTTCTTGATCTCCTTCGCTTGTATATATTCGAAATTTACATTTCGTACATATTTTTGCATCAACAGGAACCCACGAATACTTCTGAAAAGTTGTACCACTGAGAAACTTTTGTTGCGTGATTAGCTAACTTTAAAGGATTAATACATTTCGATTTTAAAAATGATGAATTCATTTTAATCTCAAATAGCTCACGAATGTAAGTTAACCTATAATAAAAACAACAAACAATACTTATGAAAATAAAGCATTGTGATTCGAAATTTTGTAAGTAAAACGTTTCAGAACTTACACAAAAATACTTTATTTAAGCACGTCTTTGTTATTACACATTAATAATTATTAAAACTAAAAAGAAGTAGACAACAAGTAGCACATTAAATGTAAACAAACTCTGTCCGGTTGTAGTATACTG